GTCTCCCTATGGTTGAATCCAACTAAATATGAAAGGAATAGTAGTAAGAAAATCATCAGTGGGTGATCAAATTTATGGATAAAAGTTTGAGGAGGAACCAGAAATTTACATCATTTCAAAGTATCTCCCCCTCAAATTTCTTATTAATCACAAAGAAAAAAATATTAACTTTATAGCAGGGAAATGTATAAGACAACACATTAACCAACTGGTCAAAGATAACAGCACCAGTAATAGGACAGACTGACATCATGTGCCTTTTGACATAATCTACTGAGAAGACATCACTTCAGTGCTTTCCTGTCAAAATTGCATAACCTGATTCTAATCACGAGGAAATGTCAAGCAACACCAACTGAGGGACATTTTACAAAATAACTAGTTAAGGTCAAGAACTTTAGGCAAAAGAAAGGTTGAGGAACTTTTAAAAGAGATGGAAAAAAGACATAAAAAGACATAAGAAATAAATGCAATGTGTGATTCTGGATTGGATGCTGGACTAGGAAAAAATAGTTATAAAAGACTTTATTGAGACAACTGATGAAATTTAAATATGGACTGTGGATTAGAAAATAGTTTTTTTTATCAATGTTAAATGTCTGTATTTTGAAAATTGAACTGCGGTTATGAAAGAGAAAATCCTTGCTCTTAGGAAATGCACTGGGAAGTATTTGGGGGAAACAGAGTACAATGTCTCTGACCTATTCTCAAATGGTTCAGAAAAAAATGCATATCTGTCTGTCTATCTACTTACCTACCTGAGAATGTCTTGGAATTTTTATTATTATTATTATTAATTTTAATGTTTTTATTTATTTTTGAGAGAGAGAAAGAGAGAGAGAGAGAGAAAGATAGGGCATGAGCAGGGGAGGGGCAGAGAGAGAGAGAGACACACACACACACACAGAATCCGAAGCAGGCTCCAGGTTCTGAGCTGACAGCACAGAGCCCCAGGTGGGGCTCAACCTCACGAGCCGTGAGATCATGACCTGAGCCGAAGTCAGATGCTTAACTGACTGAGCCACCCAGGTGCCTCATGTCTTGGAATTTTTTTTTTTTAATTTTTTTTTTCAACGTTTATTTATTTTTGGGACAGAGAGAGACAGAGCATGAACGGGGGAGGGGCAGAGAGAGAGGGAGACACAGAATCGGAAACAGGCTCCAGGCTCCGAGCCATCAGCCCAGAGCCTGACGCAGGGCTCGAACTCACGGACCGCGAGATCGTGACCTGGCTGAAGTCGGACGCTTAACCGACTGCGCCACCCAGGCACCCCAAGAATTTTTAAAAGACATCAGATCCAGGACTCTCAATAAATTTCAAGCAAAGTAAATGGAAAGATATCCACACTCATATATATCCCAATGAAACTGCACAATACCATAAAAAAAATCTTAAAACAGCTATAGAGAATAGACAGATAATGTGTCAAAGTGGCACTTAGAATTACAACTAAATTTCCAATGGAAATAATGAAAACCAGAAGACAGAAGAATATGTCTGGAATACATGAGATCTGTTAGGGGGTCTTTTAGTTTATCATGCCCTGTGATTAAGGTTAATGGCAAACTATGACAATTCAATCCAGGTAAGATTAGTGATGGCCAGACCCTTTAAGAAAGAAGATTTGGGTCACCCCCACCAGGTAAAGAACTAGGACCAGCTGAAGAAGTGTATGCTGGTAAAGTTTTTAGGAGGTCAATTCCATCAACATTTGTAACTCCTTTTTAATAATGCCTTTTTTTTTTAATTTTTTTCAACGTTTTTATTTATTTTTGGGACAGAGAGAGACAGAGCATGAACGGGGGAGGGTCAGAGAGAGAGGGAGACACAGAATCGGAAACAGGCTCCAGGCTCCAAGCCATCAGCCCAGAGCCTGACGCGGGGCTCGAACTCACGGACCGCGAGATCGTGACCTGGCTGAAGTCGGACACTTAACCGATTGAGCCACCCAGGCGCCCCTGTAACTCCTTTTGATTCAGCAATTCCACTTCTAACAATCTACCCTACCAAATATATACAATATGCACGAAGATACGTGTGCAAGGATGTGTGGTCTATCAAAACCACGAAATCTATCATGGTCCATTCCAACCAAAAGAACACCATGGATATGCCTCTGCATGCTCTGTCATGCAAGCATCCTGAAGACCTCAACTTATTTTCATCAGTGAAAATATCAAATCATGTGACCATCACCTTTTGTACAATTTCATTTCTATAAAACTGAAAACATGCATAAACACACAATTGTGTGTCTAAATACATACACATATACATGTATGCGTGTGTAAATATTGAGAGAAAGGGCTTATATATAAGAACATACACCAAACCGGGAACAGGGGGAGAGGGATGATGGTTTGTATCAGGAAAGATGTTCATATTTTACTGTGAACTTTTGTGCTGGTCAAGTCTTTCACAACACAATGGGTTAATATATTACTTGTGGAAGGAGAACGTTTAAAAAGCAAATCAGCCCAGGGTGCCTGGGTGGTTCAGGGACAGTTGCATCTGACTTTGGCTCAGGTCATGATCTTGTGGCTCGTGAGTTCGAGCCCTACATCAGGCTCCGTGCTGACAGCACAGAACCTGCTTCGGATCCTCTGTCTCCCTCTCTCTGTCCCTCCTTCTCTCTCTCTCAGAAACAAACAAACATTTAAACAAACAAACAAACAAACTGCTCTATAGTACACAGAGCAGCATTCCCAACTGCTCCTTGCAAATAAAGTGGACGTTTCCAAAACTTAGAGCCACCCCTTTCTAGAGCCCTTCCCTAGCTGGGTGAACTCAAGGCCAGGGTGAGGAGTTGTTTCCAAGGCTCTGTGTGTAGGCATGTATCCTTGAGTGGAGCATCAGACTCATACATGAACACCCAGCCATTTCCATTATCTGGGAGGCCCCACCCAGCAATGCCCAGTTCCTGCTGGCCCAGGGCTCCCATCCACCCACCCTGCTGCATCTCAAGCCCATGGCTGGCCTTTTTTAGGAACAGCAAAACAAGCCCTGATGATAGTATTTTCCAGGCTTTCTGAAATTTGTCTCCTGGAGCAGCAGGGTAAGGTCAACCATGGTGACAAGCAAAACCAAGAAAGAGGGCAGTGTGTAGAGTATGGTGATGATTTCGGCTTTCATTTCCTCCAGACAGAGAAACCTCAGGAAGCTGAGGTCAGGGATTCCCAGCATTTTTACTCTGAGACTTACTGGGAAAATTCAAAAGACTACCCACACCTTGGTGGAGGATTGTGAGGGTGAGGGGTGGATGATTCCTTCTCTAGGGATAGGATGGGGCTTTGGGGAGGATCGTTGTGTGGGAATTTGTTTGTTCTCTGAGGAGTTAAAGTGTTGGGAAGGTCACAATTTTAATTTTATTTAGAGGTCAACATTTGAGTATAGGGGTGCTTGGGTGGTTCAGTTGGTTAAGTGTTGGACTTCAGCTCAGGTCATGATCTTGCGGTTTGTGGGTTTGAGCCCCACGTCGGGCTCTGTGCCGACGGTTCAGAGCCTGGAGCCTGTTTCAGATTCTGTGTCTCCCTCTCTCTCTGTCCCTCCCCTCCTCGCACTCTGTCTCTAAAATAAAGATTAAAAAAAATTTAAAAAAATTTGAGTGTAAATTTGAAGAGGTAAGAGATGAAGCCACGTGAATATCAGAAAGAAGAGCATTCTAGGTACAGGGAATAGCAGTGCAAAGGCCCTAAGGTAGGATTGTGTCTGGTGTATTGGAAGCACAACAAAGAAGTCATTGGGGCTGGAGCTAAGTGAGTGGGGGTGGGAAGGGAGAGTAGAAGGACACAATATCAGAAGGGGAAGGAGGAAGGTGGAGTGAGAACTGCCTTGATAGCTTCTAAGGACTTTGTCTTTTATTCCAGATGAATTAGAGAGCCATTAGCAGTCTAAGAATCACGTAGCAACAAGATCTGGTTGCATATAATAGGATAGTTTTGGCTGCTGCTTTAAGAACAGACTTAAAGGGGTAAAGGAGGAAGGGGAAAGAAAGCATGGAGGCCAGTGAGGCAGCAAGTACAACAGTCCAAAGGAGAGGTAGTAGAGCTGAGGTTTTCTTGACAGAATGGTCAGCATCACCTGGAGGGCCTGTGATGCTCTTTGGGGGACAGGGACTCTAGAGCAAACAATGACATGTTTATACCACTTCTCTATGTGTTCCTTCCCTCCAAAGTTGATACTTATTAGTCTGGAGTAAGGCCAAAGAATTTACATTTCTACAAGTTGCTAGGTGAGATAGTACTGCTGGTCTGGGGAACCATACTTTGAGAACCACCAACTTTTTCTTCACAGCACTGATGAAAATGTGCAACGAACATGTGCTTATCATACGTCCTCAAGGAAGCACCTGCTTACCCCTGTGTCTCAAGGCCAAGCATGATGTCTGGCACAAATGCACTGAACTCAGCTCTGGGCTAGGCATGGTGCTGCATTGAATGAAGTTTTTGAGGATCTCTGGTTTGAAGGGTTTGGAGGTAACTGGTGATTAAACTCTTCAGGAAATGGTCATTACAGGGAAGGGATTCATTATAACAACAGTAATAATGGGTGTGACACTTACCCAGTACAGTGTTGGTCTCAGTGTTTTACTCAACATCTCCAATTAAATCCTGTGAAAGCCCTGTGAATCTGGCATTATCACCCCTGTTTTATGAATGAGGAAACCGAAGCTTGGGGAGTTTAATGTTCCCGAGGTTACACCATTAACCAGAGCAGGGCCAGGCCTGACTGACAAACTCTGCTCTGTTTACAGCACAAACTACTTCAAGAAGTCACTGATTAAGAGGAGATTGCCTTGAAGACAGGAGCTTCCTCACTTGGGGACTGTGAACTATTTTTAAAAATGCAGGGCATATGACATCTTTAAAAAAAAAATGACTCCTTTCTGAATTGAGAGCCCTGTTCACACAGCACATCTCCAGCCTCAAGCTCTTCTTGACAGAGCCCTGATTCTCTAATAGGTAGCAGTGGCTGCTCCAACCTAAGGATTTTTGCTGACCTTTGTGTTTTTTATGCTTGTCTGGTGGAGCACGTTTCTTCAACTCTCACCCTCTTCTCTGCCTCGTCCTGTAGGATGACAGGCACAACTCAGGGGGCTGAAGCTTGACAAATCGAGGCTGGCTTATCTCTAAATGGAATCCACGGCTCTCCCTACAGAACGAGAAATGAAGTTCCAGGACTTCCCGCCTCATCAGACACCCCCCCCCGCCCCCCCCCCCCCGCCCCCTCTTCCCTCAAGAGGATAAAAATAGCCGCCTCCCAGGGCCTCTCTGCAGGAGCAGCAACTGCGCTCAGAAACCCCGCCTGCCCCTCGAGCAGCTGGCGGGGGTCGGGGCTTGGACCTGCCCGCAGGGGCGAGGTGACCCGGCCGGGCTAGGATGCTTGGAACTCTCAGCCGAGAGAGGGGGCACTTGGAGCATGTTTGAGCACGATGGTAGGTGCTCACATAAATGCACCCCGAGACCTGGAGGTCCGAGCACGGGTTGCTTAGGCTGCCTTTCGAAAAGCAGAGGTGTATTCCCGATTCTTAACCTCTTTGGGCGACAGGGTCTCGCTAGAACAAACGATGAAACGTACAGAGCACTTCTCTGTGTGTGCTCAAGCACACGGAGAGAAAAACAGACACACACTACTGCGCACCACAGGTTAACAACCCCAGATAGAGTTGATAACGGGGGCGCACAACCATCATGAAAAATAAAACTTCGTAAGATCTAAGAATAAGGTTACTAAAGTTTGCTGAGCAGGATATTTTTGGAGAATAAAAGCATATAATATTTATACATGGAAACTGACACAGAAATGTTGATGTTACCTCCGATGGTAGGATAAAAGGTGCTTTCCATTTTTCTCCATTTTCTCACTAAGAAAAAGCAGGTTTCTCTTAATGCAAACCTGAGCGACCGCATCAAGCGTTTCCCTGGAGCTGGGACCCCACTCAGCCGCAGACGAGGCCGGGGCCTGCCTGCCTGCCTGTCTGGACTCTGTGTCGGGGCGGAATGGGGAAGCGGGGGTGTTACAGACAACAGGCAAGGAAACCTCAGGCTGCTGACAACGTAAGGTGGGGATAGGCTCCTTTCAGAGGGTGCCCAGAATGCCCCGAGCCCGCGGCGGCACTTGAAAATCAAAGCGCTCCCAGCCGGGCCGCGGCCAGCACTGAGCGGAGTGTGCGTGCGTACGCGCTCTCGGGGGGCGGCGGCGGCGCGCACGGGCGCGCCTCCGCGGCCAGCCCTCCACAGAGGACGATGCTGCCGAGGAGGCGGCGGCGGCGGCGCGCTCCGGCGGTCTGAAGAGGCGTCCGGCTGCCACGGGCCGGCGGCGCGATGAGCTGGGCGACCGCCCCCGGCTCGGGGCTGTGAGGGGCTCGGAGCCGGGGGTGGGTGGTGGCGGCGCGGCGGGAAGCCAA